ATAGTACTGTGATAATTTCTTGAGAAAACTGAAATAAATGTGTAAAGCCCTGGCTCAGGGCTTTCCATTTCACAACACAAGCAGACTTATGAAACACAGGCATTCCAGGCAGGGCATGCTGGGAGAAACGTTGGTAGTCCCATTTGACTGTATCGAGGATACAATACAGCTGAATCACATTAGCACAATGGGAAACAAAAGGAGAAAATTAAAGAGGGGGTAGAGCAAGAATTCATCCACTTCTCTCCATCTCTACTGCTTATATCCAAGTCAAGATCATCATTGTTCCTGCCCAAAGGGGAGACTCTATCTCCCAGCCCCCCTTGCAATTAGAATTGGGCAAGTGTGAGTGGGTTCTGGCCACAGGGGTATATGTCAGAAAACCCCTAAGCAATCATCCACACCCACTCTTCCCCTTTCTGATGACTGTAAAGGCTCTGTTTTATAGAGAGCAGTATCAAAATATGGATGGAGCCTGGATGTTCAAGTTACCACTTGAGAGCTGCCCAGGAGAGAGTCTCTGACTTTTTTGTGACCCAAAAATAAATCTCTGTAATGTTAACATTGATTTTCTTTTATAGTTCTTTCTTTCCAAGGCATATCTCAGCCTTTCTCAATATCTCCCTAAACAGTCTCTACTTCTCCTCTGCCTCATTTGAATGCACACAACTGCAAAAATAATCCTCTTAAAACACAAATTGGATCACAGTGCTTCTGTTTTGTCAGATTTCCAAGGCTTCCTGCTACACAGAATAAAATCCAAATTCCTTAACCAGGACTACAAGAACATGGATTAGCTAGTCACAGCATTTGTTTCCAATTTTTATCTCAAATCACTCTCTACCCTCTCTTGGCCACTTGTCTTCCTTTCATTTCTTTCTTGAGTCAGAGCCTGTAATACACATTCTTTCTGCTTATAACATTCTTCCTCTTATTTTTGCTTTTCATGGGGCCAATAGAGTCTCACTTTTTAGGGCTTGCCTTAATGACAGCTTTAGAAAAAGACCTTCCCTGACCTTCTATTTTATGGGAGGTTCCTCCTTTTCAGTCTCTAGCTCAGACTTGTATTTGCTTCACAAAAAGCCCATATATAAAACAGCTTTAAGTCCCTCAAAGCAAGACGGGTTGACTTTAGATGTCTTCTCTATCATATCCTCTGATTTTAGCAATTTTGTGGCAGTGTATAAACTGACTGATATACACATTTTAGTTTCAGGATCACCAATGGTGTGTATATTTAGGGGTTTTGTTAGTCTTCTCAACTTGCTAAACAATGCTTAACATAATCTGAACACTCCAATAAAGATATTTATGTGTTCTTATGTAAGAATCATTTGATCCTATTAACAACAATTTCAGATAATTCTTCAGATAATTTTTTAGTTCTTTCATTGTACTTTTAACCAGTCATATTAGTATTTACTTTACAGTGCCTGTTGTATTTGTGGGCACCTCTCAAGGAAAGCAGATGGCAACCTGGAAAGAGCTTGGGCCTTTTTGAATGAGTCAGAAATGGGTTCAGATAATCACTTCTAGCACCACTAGTTTTCCCAGGCTACTAGGTCTCCATAACACAGGGATTATAGTACTGCCCAGGTATTGTTACTGTGATATTGCTATGTGTGACAATAATGTGTGAAGGAACCAGGAGCTCTTCTTTATCCAATGATGCTGCTATATTAGTTTTCCATTAACAGTGACAACTACAGGTGGAGTCCTGTAGTGGACGTTAAGGTTGATAATGATTTTCCTAGGCAGCCCTCAGAGATGTTTTCCTTTATCTTAAAACACCTTTAAAGGATTTATTTAAATTATATGGTAGCCACACTTTTAAAATCACTGCCTACATTTCTGAAATTGTTGGCCTATCACTTTTTTCATTTTTAATTTGAAATACTGTAAACCCTTCAACAACTCAGGGTTAGGGGTCATGACCACCTGCACAGTCGAAAATACATGTATTACTTAAGTCGGCCCTCTACGTATGCTGACTCCTAACCACTTATGAGTGGACCTGAGAGTTCACACCCATGTTGTTCAAGGATCAACTATAATTAAAGAGTCATAGGGAAGTGTAAAGTACTTTATAGAAAAGTCCCCTTCACCCAGTTTGCACCAATGGTAACTCTTAAATAACTAGAGTACAATGTCAAAACCGGGAAAATGACATTGGTACAATCCATAGAGCTTATTAAATTTTACCAGTTTTATATGTACTCCTGTGTGTATGTGTAGAGATCTATGCAATTCTATTACATAAAGAGATTCATGGCCCAGCACCTTTTTGTCTCTTATAATTGCTATGCTCTTTCAGAATCTAATACAAACAGTATGTATAATAAAATATCTTCTTTAATCTTGAATATAATTCTAATATTGTCACCTTTAATTTAATAGACATAAAATAGTATTTATAGTACAAAGCATGTAATAGTACAGGGTGGGGCAACAGGAGGTTTACAGTTGTATGTGAAACAAGAGTTTATTCCTGTATTATCCATTAATTATTATATTATTTTCCATACAAACAACTATAAACCTAGTTTTGACCCACCCTGTATTTATTGATAAACTTGTTGGATGTAATTTCCCAAAACACCATAGCATTTTCCAAAAGCAAGTGGCAGCCTTTTTTCTAATTGAGACATGCATAAAAGATTCCTGGTAGAGAACAAAACAGCTCTTTTCTCTAGGTCTACATCTGCTGTCAGAGTGAGCAGCAGCAGGCTACTGGATGAGGTATTGGCTGTGCACAACTTAAGATAATTTTCTCTAGCAAGAAACTATGATTTGTAAAAGATTTAATAAAATAGACATTCAAAGTGAAATGACTTCATAAAACAGCATCATTAAACATTATGATTATAAAATATATTCGCTTTGGTCTTAGCTTAGAATATGCAAAGTTGGAGACATATTATTTGCCCGTTGATGTAGCTGGGGAAGCACTCACACTAAATACTGGTATGTTTTTTGCTTGTTGCTGGAGGATGTCTACTGTTGTTTTTAACTATAGTGGTTGTCCAATGAGGAATTTAAAATTCTGAAAAAACAATAATTAAACTCAAATTCAGAAATGAATTCCATTCTACTCCATTCAAAGTAGAGTAATTTTACGCCAAATGAAGACCACAGCAGGCCTCTGTAAGGAAAGCAAGAGACAGAAGCTGCAAATTTCAGCCCTTTTTGGAACCTTATATCAAACTGACAATAGGCATCAGAACATAGTCACACCAACATCTTTTTTCCAATTATCCTTCTCCCGTCCACCTGGCCCTGTTTCCCTCTCTGCTTATGAAAGACTAAAGAGCAAGAAAGAATCAGATTATTTATAGAATCTGTGAAATAAAGAAAATGTTATGCTTGTTCTTTCTCCTCCAATAACAGGAAAATCACTATACAGTCATACCTCAATACTCGTCAGCTTCAGAAATCACCAAACTCTGTACTTACTACATTTTGACAAGAAAAAAAAATGTTTCAGCACTTGCCAGAACTTGTATGAATCATGACACCAACCCGCAAGAGAAAATGCTTCATCACTCGTCTCTTGCTTGGTACTCGTCAGTTCTGGCACTCATTACGAGTTCCAGAACAAATTAATAATGAGTACCAAGGTACCCCTGTACTTCGTTTTGTTAGTATGTGATAAACACAGACAAGCCTCTGATAATAGAATATACAAATGAAAAACTTGAGAACAATAATGTGTTAATTTAAACTAAATTAACTATAGGTTGCAGTTTCAAGCCTAGCTAGTGAATATGATAGGATTCTTAAGATTGTAGACATAACTAGGTGGAGAAAGTGATCAAAAAAATTTCGCTATGCTAAACTTTTACATTACTAGACAAACTTTTTCATTAAAAAACCCATCAGCACCCAAGATGGAAAAGTTGGAACATTTTCCAGTTCTTCCAGAATCTAGTCTTACAGGTATAATTTCATTATTTTATTTCAAGTAATGTGAATTCACTGCATTTCAGAAAATACATATAAAATGTAAATAAAAGAACATATTCCGAAGTGACTCATATAACATGTAGTTTCTCCATTTGTGAGACTATATAGTTCATAACACAAAGAGCCACATAAGAAACAAGACAAGCTCACCCACTGAGATCTTTAAGGACCCAAGGTTGTATGTTGCCTCTCTGCTTTATATCTTGTTATATCTTATACAAGAGCTGCAATTTCACACAGAAATAGTTACTACATGCAAATAAGGTCACTGTGCTATGGGTAGTCTTAGCATTCTAACTAGTCAACACTAACACTTTATAATATAAAACTTCCATTAACAGGTAGTAAAGTCTATGTGTTATCCTTTGTAGATAAAAATGATACACTGATATATTATTATTAATCTATATGTGGCTTCATTTATGTTTTCAGTGGTAGTGACTATTTTGCATTAAGCTCTGACCAAGTTTTCCCTGAGACCAATACAATATAATCTGCTGAAATATAGCTGGCTGGGTTAGGGATGCAATTTGTGGTAAACCCAAACAACCCTTATAAGCCCTCATTAACTGGTGCTCTAAGGAAATGATTTATTGATGGTAGACAAAATGGAGACAACAATCTTCACTGGCTGTTGTCCCACAGCATATTAATATATGATATGCAGCCCTCAAGCCCTTGGTAGATACACTACCTAGTTGAACATTTCCTTTTGGTCAACATTAGCTATAGGATTTACATAATTTGAAGTATCAGCAGTTCTATACCAGCAGGAACAATAAAACGAATCACAGCAACAACAGTAAAATCTGATACATGATGAACAAACCTAAAACTCTAATGAAGTATGTTTATCCAGAATGAAGGAAACAAATGTACAGACATTGTCATCATCAGTTAATTTTATCACATTCTCAGAATGTATTAAAATAATATTATTCTAGGGACCTCTCACAGTCTTTTACAGCACCCTCAAAAGCTACAATAAGCAATGACAGAGAGAATAATTAGCCCACAGAACTCACAAAGGTGATTACCTGGTAGTCTGGTTTTGTAAAATAATCCAAAGACGAGATGTGGTCCAGGAAGATGCTAAATTCTGGAGGGAGATGTTTCAACATAAGCCTGTGGTCATATCTCTCCTTAATAGAGCCTACTTGCTCCTGGGCAGAAAAGAGAAATGGAACCAAAATCAATTTCTCTTGGCAGCTACACATTAAGAGCCTCTCAGCAACAGCCTCAAGGGTATGTCCTGGGGAATGAGACTGTGGATACTTAGGTATAAGGCGAATACCTGGTTCATACTAAAAGCTTAATGCACACTGCTTTAAAGGGTGGTGGTGGGTGAGGGGGGAGAAGAGGGACTGTAATGCAGAGTCAAAGAGTAACACAGAGTTCTGCATCAGTGAATTGATAAATGCCCCCAAAGAGAAAGTTGATATTAAAACTAGTCTAGGTTTCATTATCAACACAGGTGTTTACAGTTTTCAAATCAAACAATATAATGTGACAAATAAAATTAAGCCTTTATTGATTTATAAAAAAGAAGAGAACTAATGAAAACAAAAACTAAGAGGACTAGAAATCAAATTAGAAGTAATAATTCTATTAAAATTAGTGTTTATTCTCTGTGTATTTAGAAAAAGTAATAAAACTAATTAGATCTCCAATAGTTTATCGAGAGAAAAATACACATATTGGGTGTGACATAGTTAAAATGCTTGTAAATTTTAATTCTTAAATATATTTTCAACAAAAATGCCTAACAAGGAGAAATTTTCATTCCTTCTCCTACCCTAAATTGACCTTCCCATTTTCAAAATTACCTTGTCCTTTATTTTTCTCCACGGCAGTTGACCAACCACAAACTCCACCAACATGTAGAATAAGGACCAAAGGTCATCATGTCTTCCCATTTCCTTCATAAGCAAAAGAAAATTCAGTCCCATTATAGTACCACTCCTTGTGCATTTATTACATTGTCTAAGGCCTAACCATCATGTTTCATCCTATAATAAAGCCTACAAATTTAAATGTATTTCCCACAAATTATCTGATAAATATATAGCTACATAGCTATAGAGCAATGTACATGGCAGAATAGGTATAATGAAGAACTTTCTGATACAAAGAGTACCCCCAAACCCAGAAATGCTGGAAATATAATTAACAGCCTATTATTTAATAAATGAATTTGATAAGAAGTAAGAGAAGGCAGCTGCTAAGGGCTGAAGGAAGAGGGAAGGGAAATTAGTGTTTGGTGCATACAGTTTTAGTGTTGCAAAGTGAGAAAGTTCTAGAAATCTGTTGCACAAAAATATGAATATAATTAACACTACATATAGCACATTTAAAATGGTTAAGGTCATTAGTTTAATATTATGCATTTTAACCACAATTTCTAAAAAAAAGAAGGAAAGGAAACAGTAAGAGCCAAAATTAAATGAAAGCTGGAAACAAAAGAAGACAGCTGATGCTGAAGCTTTAGCTTTGGCTGTTTTGGTGCTATCTGTCATAGGTTTTATCAACCAGAGTTTTCTCAGTCAGGAAGGGGATAGGTATAAAAGTACTGAGCCAGAAGTTGTAACTGAGCAACTCCCTCTATCACTGCCATATAGCTAGGACCCTCAAAGGGCTATCTGTAGTGTGACATTTGGTATGTACATTATACTGCAATATTTTTCTGTAGATTTTAACTACTATCAAGGGATAAAGTGAGTGGTTAAAAAAGAATTTGACCTGAGAATTTGTTACTGCAGGCCTGCCCCTCGCTCAGATTCAGTGTCTAAATTTATACAACTTTTGTGGTCTGGGCAACTAAGCCCAGGAATGAAGTATTTTCTGTGTGATTCTGATGATACATGCTAATGAAAATCCTCTTGAGATAAAAGTACCCTTAAATTCAGGACTTCTATGAGGCCCAGCAAATATAAGCTCATAATGTGAAATTATAAAATATATTACGAAGCAGGTTATTATAAGTTAATGACAAGGCAAACAATAATAATAGAATTAGGTATTCAAAAATTTCAGAGACACAATTATAGAATACAAAATATGAAATAAGAATGTTTAAACAAAAAAAATGATGAAAAAGGAAACATATTTTATCCAAAAAAAATAAAAAGACCAATTAAGTTTGGAAAGAGATGAAAAAAAACCTAGAAATAAAAAAATACAATTATAAAAGTTAAAAACTCAATGGACAGGTTAAAAAGCTGATTGAAGAGCAGAGCAGAAAAAAGAATTAATGAAATGGAAGACAGATCTAAAGAAATTACCTAGAATGCAACACAGAGACATAAAGAATTAGAAAATCTGAGAGTGAACTTAAGAGGCATGGAGGACAGAGCAGGAAGATTGAACACATATCAATTTGGAGATATGAAAGAAAGAGAGAAAGGGAAAAGCAATACTTAAAAAAGTAATGTCTGAGAATTTTCCAGAATCAATGAAAGATATGAATGTTTAGACCTAAGAAGCACAACTCCCAAACAGAATATAAACACTTGCATACCTAGGCACATTTGAATGTACCTGCAGGACACCAAAGACAAAAGGAAAGTATGAAAAGTAGGAAAAGTAAAAAAATTATATACAAGACAACAACAATTAAATGGACAATGATCTTCTCAACAGCAACCACAGAACCAGAAGAAAATAATTTCTTCAAAGTATTGAGATAAAACAAGGATTAACAAAGGATTAAAATGTAGGACAACAATAAGATGAAATGAACAGAGTTCAAACGCTCTAAAAGAGTCCTTGTTTGTTTGGGATTAATTATTCATGTTAAAAGTTTAAGGTACCACAAAAAAAAAAAAAACCCAGAAATGGAGTGTATTATACTTAGAAATCAGGATTGCAGAGTATGGAAGAAAGAAGTATATCAAAATTATCTGGAAAATCTTTTTAAATTAGACAAGTGCTTATGAAGGTTTCAGTAGCTGCGCTCCCATATCACCACATAAACTGACAACCATTGTTGTGAAGTGGTATCAAGCTTCCACTTCTCAGGTTTTTGGGAGCCAAAAAAGAAGGGACCACTGCTCTACACTATCAAATTCCTCTTGGTTCCAAAATCAGATGAGTAATAAATAGGGAGGTTAACAGTAACTTTCAGAGCGCTGTCTGCTGGACAGGCTTTTAGAAGAAATCTCTACTCTTCAAATTATGTGTATAATCTCTTTCTAGTGGCAACTTTGGAAATGCTTAGAGCAATTATGATTTCTGAATATGTTTATGTTATCTCAAAAAGAATGTCCTATTTCAAAGACCCAAAGTTGGCATAATCTTTTAATAGAATTAGTTATAAAGCCTAATACTTATAAAATTTTTTAAGACTATCTGGAAAGTAAGAGTACTTTCTTTTCAAGGCTAGATGCCATAAAATAAAGCTATACTGAATCAAACTGAATGAGTTAAAATGCTTGCCAGAGTGCTACCCACTGATAAATATGCTTTTTCTATTTTCAATTTACAATCACATCATAAGAAACCAAATTAACTGGAGCATAGCATATGAGACCTCAGCATACTCTTCCATTTAAATTTAGCATTGGTCAAATTTTCATTAAAGCAATTTTGGCTTCACAAAACAAAAATAAGGTAAGAAAAGATAAAAAAAAATATAACTTTATTTTACCAAGGGAATCACTTGTTAACTTTCTCAACTCCATCCAAACAAGTTCAAGTACTGAGAATCTATAAAATACTCATCTTTTCCATGCATAATTAAGGTTTAGGTTGAGGAAAAAAATCAGTAGGAATAAAAAGACTGAAGTAAAAAAAAAAAAGGGGGGGGATTTTCAAAACTTTAAAGTTGTCTGCACTTGAGATCTTCATAAAAACAAAAGATTTGATGGAGAAGAGCTATCACAAATTAGATGAATATTATGGATAAATTGATGACTCCTACATTTCATTAGGTATTGACAGTATGATATGCCCAAAAAACTTCTAGAAATGGAGTACACATTTTATTTCTTCAAAATTCTATATTAAATTCATTAATACTTAACACCTATTAAGGACACAAGAATCATATATATATATATATATATATATATATGTGATATATATATAGATACACACACACACACACACACACACACACATATATATATTTCACTATTCTTTTTTCTGGCACATCCAATTTGTATTTTCTATGCAGTTGCACACATCTGTTATCCCCTATACACCTTACCATGTTGTATTACTAACACCTTTCCCTCTGCTCCAGGGCACTTCTCACACCTTTGTACTCTAATGAAAAAAAGTCAATCTAATTCAAGCCATCAGCATGCTTATACAGGTATGACTCTAGTTCAGATACCTACTCTGTTCCGATGAGCATTGATTGACGCATAACGAACTGTCCCTCTAAAACCTGCCACAGCTCGAGGCTATAACAAAAACAGGCAAAAATATTAATAAATGAGCTTCAAATAGCAAAACATTCAGTACACTTGAGCCCACAAAGTAGATGTGAAAAACATGCATTATTGTCACAATAAAACACTATTTAAATTCTAACTTTTTATTGTAACTCCTACTTTTTATAGTAGAAAATTAGAGATCACGGATATGTGGAACAGACTGACATCTAGGAGGGGAGAGGGGTTGGGGGGGACTGGAAGAGATTAGCCAAAGAACATACATGCACATGGACAGAGACACAATGTGGTGAAGCGGGGGGGTGGTGACAAGGAAGGGACAATGGGGGACATCTGTAATAGTATTAACAAAAAATAAAAAACAAATTTAATTTTTTTAAAAATTAAAATTAAAAGAAAAGCAGAGATCATGTTAAAATAGTAAAGTTCAGTTATCAATGTTAATTCAGTGTTATCAATGTTATATCAATGTCCCAGTGCTCTACCTACATTTTAAAATAAAATGGCATATATAACAAACTCTGTATATTAGAAACAATTACATGCTTTTGTATACCCAGAATCATGCCAAACATCATAGTATACACTAATATTCAGGGCTCTGGTTACAATAAGTATATTAAGACCATGAGGAATCTCTAAGTAATCTAAGATGTCAACCTCTTCCAGTCTTGGTTATTTCATTCAAAGTCAACACAAAGATGGTGACAACAAGTATCCCTCCCTATATACGCAACTCATATATTGATAAATTCAAGTTAATGAATATTTATTATATGCCAGGTACTGGGAATGAATCCAAACATGAATAATACATGATCCCAGTTTTCAGATGAATTTAGAATAAATTCCAAACTTTTTTTTTTATTTTGGCATACAAGACATTCTATGACCTGGCACTGCCCTCATTCCAAAATTGACTTGTGATTTATCCTAATGAAGAGAATAGCATTCCAACTGAAGAGACTAGTAAGTGTAATTGCTATGTCTCCAGTTGTATGTCTCCAATGGCTAGCTCTTCCGCTCAAATGTCAGTTCCTCAGAGAAATATTCCTTACTTATGCTAATTGAAAATATTACCAACCCATGCAATGCTACTTTATTCTTTTACTCTGCTTTATTTTTTCTCATAACACCTTTTACTACCTAAAATTAATTCTATTTATATTTTCACTTATTTATTGCCTGTCTTCTTCCATTGGAATATAAACTATGTAATGACAGGGTCTTTGTCTTGCTCATTTTACAGAAATAGAAGCGGGTTCTGAGAGGTAAGTAAACTTGTCTGAGGACAGAGAATTAGTAGGTGATAAAACCAGGCATCAACCAAGATCTTTTGACTTGAAATCATACACTGTTTCTACTCTACTGCTTCACATGGACTAAGTCAGTAACCTAAAGATTCATAGATGGCACAATAGCTCAATATGAAAACTGACAAATTTGAAAATGATCACAGCCAATAATTTTCATTAGAATTTTTGTTTTCAGTAATTTTAAATTATCCTCAATTAACATGCACTACCTTTGTCTTCAGAAAAAGTGTATAGCAAATGATATTTTTAAAATCTTCAGTTACCAGAATTATTTTGATCATATTCTATGAGATATTCTATGTACTATGCCTGTTTGCTTGGTTTTATAATCTATGTTTAATTTATTCACATTAGTTGTCTATTCTTTCACAAAATTCTCTTTTCCCCTTTAAATTTCCCCTTCATTACTCCCTTTAATTTTTGTTTTAAGATTTAACTATATCAAATGTCTTTTTGTATTTAATGGCAAGTCTCAGTAATCAAAAGTTTATGCAATCTACTTAAATCTCCTTTCTTTTCTTAGTTGCCATTCATCGAAAATCATAGTTAGATCTCAATATTTTCCTAAAACTTCATGACTAACAGGAATATCTAACATTCTTACTTTGACTGACGAACTCTGAAGTTGGAGATTTCTTTCAAGAACGAAAATGTGTAAGGGGATATATGCCAGTTTTCACTAAATAACATTTCTGAGATTGTACTTTTATTCATTACTTGACAAGAGTCTTCAGCAACACAAAAATGTTTTTGTAGATGTAATTTTGTCCATGTTACTTTCATTCCAATAACTTTAGGATGAAAATACCCAGACCTATTTTCACACTCTGCAGCCAAGTCCATGATTAATTGGGCAGCCAGACTTTGCCCTAATGGATTCTACCCACTACAAGCCCAGGAGACTTTCCAGTTAAGAGCACCTATGGCCTGGCTCTGACATTAGTTCTGCCACAGGAAAGGCTGAAATACAACTCAGCCCAATTGGGGAAAACAGCTATATATACAAATAATTGTAATTCAAAGTAGATTAGCCTGAACATCAGTAGTAAAGTACAATGAGCTACGAAAGCCTAGAAGTGGTAAGGATTAGCTCCATTGGGTGGAAAGGAAGAAGGAAAAGTTCTATGGAAAAAGAAAAAGTTTTAAGAATCAGGCAACTTTTAACTGGGCCGTGGCACAGGTGATCTCTTGAAACTTCCCTAACTGATGGCACTTCAGCTGATAGCTATCAAAATTACATTCCTTTTGGCCCAGCAATTTCACTTCCAGAAACTTATCTTACAGATATACTTGAATATATGCAAAAATAATGTACAAATTAATTCACTACATTAGTGTTTGGGATAGCAAAAGACTGTAAGTAACCCAAATGTTCATCATTAGGGGACTGATTTAATAAATTACAGTACATCCATATAATGGAATACACTTTATAGCTGCAAAATCAGAAGGAAGCTCTATAAACTGATACAGAAAGATCTAGATACACTGATAAGTGAATAAAAAGTGAAGAATGTACATCGTGATACCTTTTAAATAAATGGAAAAATTAGAATATACATTCATATTTATTGTACATGCATAAAGAAATTCTGAAAGAATACATTAAAGAACTAATCACAATAGAGCTACCTAAAGGGAGAGGAAGGGAGAAAGGAAGGCAGGAAAAAAGGAATTTGGAATAGGGGTGAAATGGAGATTTGTTTCACTGTTTACCTTTTAATTCCATTAAAGTCAGATTTATTGAAGCACAATTGACATACAGTAAAATTCATACTTATGTATACACAGTTCTATAAATTTGACAAAGACATAGGAATTCTGTCTGGAACAAAGTCCAGCCATTGTCAATATCACGAGAATGGTTTTTGTGACATCAATGTAACCTGCGAGCCAAGGAGAATGGACTAGAATGTACATGCATGAACAATGATGACTTCACTGTACTAGTCGGTGGGGGCAGTAGATTCCATTGAGTGAGCACGTGTACTGGGTGGCTGTAGCATTCAAAATGAGTGAGTTAGAGCAAAGAATCTGCATCAAGTTTTGCATTAAGCTTGAACATTCCTGTACGGAAACTATTTGGATAATTCAGAAGCCCGCAGCTATGGGCAACTGGTGATTAGCTGCTGCTTCATGACAACATGCCTGCTCATGAATCATGTCTCGTGTAGAGTTTTGGGAGAAATATCAAATTATCCAGATGACTCAGACTCCCTACAGCCCAGATTTGGCACCCTGTGACTTCTGGCTTTTCCCAAAACTAAAATCACCTTTGTCCAGGAAGAGATTTCAGACCGTCAATGAGATACAGGAAAAAATGAGAGGGCAGATGATGGTGACTGGGAGAAATGGGTGAGGTCCCAAAGGTGCCTACTTTGGAGTGGAGTGAGGCATCATTGTCTTATGTACAGTGTTTCTTGTATCATGTATCTTCTTCAATAAATGTCTCTATTTTTTTGTATTACATGTCTGCATACCTCTGGGCAGGCGTCATATAGTCATGCAGCTACCACTGCAATCAAAATACAGACTATTTCTATTACTCCAAGTGTCCTTTAACACCCTTCATTGTTAATCCCTTCCCCTCCACTCCCAGTCTCTGGCAACCTCTGTCTGTCACTACTCTTAGAACTATCTGGGTCTTTTTTGTTTTTTGGGTTTGTTTTTTTTTAAGGTTTACTCATTCTAATTACTGTGTAGTAATACCTCACTGTGGTTTTAATTTTCATTTTCCCTGAAAACCTAAAAGTGCTCAGCATTTGTTAATATACTTATTTGCCATCTATAGCATCTCTTCTTTTACAAAATGTCTACTCAAAATGATTACTCAGTTTCCATTTTCTTTTAAGTATTGAGTTGGGAGAGCTGTTTATAGATTTTGAATGTAAGTCCTTTGTCAGATGTGTGTTTTGAAAATATTTTCCCCCAGTCTGTTACTTGACTTTTCAAATTTCTTAACAATGTCTTTTGAAGAGCACAAGTGTTAATTTTTTTAATTTTTTATTGTTATGATATTACAATTGTCCCAATTTTTCCCCCTTTGCCCTCCTCCACCTAGCCCACCCCCTCTCCCACAATCAATCCCAACATTGTTGTCCATGTCCATGGGTCACTGATACATGTTCTTTGACTAGTGCCTTCCCCTTCTTTGCACCATTAATCCCCCTCCTGGCTCCCCTCTGGCAGCTGTCAGTCTGTTCCATGTTTCCATGCCTATTTTGCTCATTAGCTTCTTTTGTTCATTAGTTTCCTCTTGTAGGTGAGATCATACGGTATTTGTCTTTCACCAACTTGCTTATTTCAGATAGCAAAATATTTCCAGTTCCATCCACGCTGTGGCAAATGGTAGGAGTTCCTTCTTTCTTTTTGCTGCATAGTATTCTGTGGTGTGTAAATGTACCACAGTTTTTTGATCCACTCATTTACTGATGGGCATTTAGGCTGTTTCCAGCACTGGCTATTATAAATAGCACTGCTATGAATATTGGGGTGTGTAAGTTCTTTTGAGTTGGTGATTCAGGATTCCTAGGGTATTGTCCCAGCAGTAGAACTGCTGAATCAAAAAGCAGCTCTACTTTTAGCTTTTTGAGGAAATTCCATACTGTTTTCCACAGTGACTGCAGCAGTCTGCATTCCCACCAACAGTGCACGAGGGTTCCCTTTTCTCCATGTCCTTGCCAGTACTTGTTG